AAGGCCAGATTTTCCAACCACTGGTGATTTTTCTGTTTCTAACTTTTGCATTCCAATCACCAGTAATAATCAATATATCTTGATTGTGTATTCAGTCAATTTCAGATTACAAAAGTTGGTAAAAATCCTCAATTTTCTCATTGTTAGCTTGGTCATTGATGCATACATTTGAATAAAAGTAAGTATTAACTGGTCTTCTTTGTAAGCATATGGATATTATCCTATCACTGACACCACTGTACTTCAGGTTAGCTCTTAAAACATTTTTTGTGATGATGAGTGCCTTTCCATTCCTGTTCAATTTGTCATTCCCAGCATAATAAGTCACATGGTTGTCTGATTAAAAATGGCCAAAACCAGTCCATTTCAGCTCACTAATGCCTAAGATATTGGTCTCTATGCATTCCATTTAATTTTTGACAACTTCCAATTTTCTTAGATTCATACTTTGTACATTCCACATTCCAATTATTAACAGATGTTTGCAACTGTTTCTTCCCATTTTGAGTCATGCCACATCAGCAAGTGGCAGTTCCAAAAGCTTTACTCCATCTACTTCATTAAGGTTGATTCTACTTTGAGGAGGCAGCTCTTCCCTAGTCATATTTTGAATGCCTTCTGACCTGAGGGCTCATCTTCTGGCACTATATTGAACAATGTTTCAGGGTTATTTGTAATATTTTCCAATAATACATCAGACAGTGTTACATTGCTATTCATAAGTTTTCACTGGCCAGTTCTTTGAGAAGTGGATGGCCCCTTCCTTCTTCTGAGTCAGTCTTAGTCTCAAAGCTCCACTGAAACCTGTCTACCATGGGTGACCCTGGTGGTATTTGAAATTCTGGTGGCATAGTGTCCAGCCTCACAGCAACACATAAGTCACTATAATTTGACAAACTGACAGACAAGTGGTGGACCTGGAGGATACACACACCAAAAAGGCTGATGTACTTTCCAGGGTCATCTGTCAACCTCATGGTACCTATTATAACAGCAATCTACCACAGAGAAGCCAGGTATCCTGTAGCAAATATTTTCAGAGATTCCACAAAAGGCTGGATGGAATACTATAAAAAAATGAATGCAATTTGTTCAATTATTCAGAGCAATCAGACCTGCCAATGCTGCACATTCTAGTCAAACAACATAAACTTATTTTTTCAAAGCTAGGCTTTCTAGAAAATATTTGTTATATATGCACATTACCATTTATTTTCAAATAGAAAGTTATCACTGACCCACACAGAGGCTTTCAAAACAACTCTTCAGAGTTAGAGAGAGAATATGAATGTTTTACATTGGTATATCACAACATTCAAAATGCTTTGGCATACATTACCTTGCTTTATCAACACAAAACCTCATGAACAACTGTGTTGTCCATTTTACAGGTGGGAGAATCGAAACTCAGAGAAATGAAACAATTTGTTGGCCCTGGGCAACACAAGTGGCAAGTGATAGAATAAGGACAGGAATGCTGCTGTCTACTTTTAGCCATTCTTTGTGACTCAATGCTATGGTCTATCTTTTCACCAGTCTCACTGGGGCAGATGTGAACTGATATAAATATTCTGTAGCATGGTGATAGCTTGAGTTCTTACTTGCAAGATTGAATGTCAGTTTGTAAAAGATGCATGTTAATGTATTTTCCATAAAAGGGATGTAATAGGCTCTGCGACTGTGGAAAGTGATGAGTCAATGTTCTCTGGGTGTCAAGGGGGAGGAGGCCTGGTGCAATGATGCTTCCTGTTCTTCCTTGGATGTACTGTGGCAGCCTACATGTCAGTGCAGACTTCACTGTGTTATTCATAGATTTAGATCAATGTCTCGATTTAGGCAGTGATGGATGGACCAACATGTTGGTGGGAATGTA